CAGGCATCGGGATGATTGGCCGCCACAATGGGACTGTTGTTCCCTTTCTTGACGGTATTAGAGCCGAGATGTGGGGAAGTCCTCAACTCGAAGTAAAAGACCCCTTCTTTGGCCTCATCTTCGCATAACTCATAGGCGCACCGCTCGAGAGCATCCGGGTCTCCACTAACGCACAAGACATCAATTATAGCACAATTGGACACATATTATGGTTAGAGATCGAGAGAATATATTTGAAAAATTTAATTTTTTAGTTAGTCATTGGTTCTCAATTAAAAATTTCAATAAATTACTAAAACTAATAGTTTAGTCATTTTATACATTGGTGTTAAAAATAATGTGGAAAAATATACTTAAGTTACAGGCAATAAGAAATACTTTCAAATGGGAATAAACACTTAAAAACTTTTACTGGTATATGAATGTGCTGGAAACTTTCAAGAATTACAAAACTTGAAGCATGGAAAAAACTGAAAAATAATTTTCTAAAAGATATCCACCCTGATCATAATCATAATCGATGTACTCACACAATAAATTTGCCATAATGTTGCAGAATACTCAAGAAGTCGGCTAACTTTCCCGGCTTTTTAATCACACAATACTCCATGAGTTCATTGAAAGTGCCATTTGGTGTCAATTTGATGCCTTTTGGGACATAATTAGCAAATGACTATAACTTTCGCAATATATTCTTCACATGGATTCACTGGTTTCGGAAATTATACCTTTTTTGTGACACAACTCCCATACAGTGGATAATCGCACAGAACCTCCCAAATGCAGGTGTAGTTCCACCTGAAAGTAGCTATTTGTTTAGTATATGATCAGGGCAAATTGTAATCATTAGCAATAATATTACAGCATTTCCCATTAAATCAAAACTTTTTACACTACATCTAGACTACCATAAATTGCTATTCAATTAGTAATATAAGCAATAGGAATTGCCTAGCATCAAATAGACTACTCTATGAAATACAATGCAGTATTCAAATTAAATTAAGAATTGTCAAAAATGTTCATGTACACTTAAATTATAAATTATAGAAAGTATCATTAGAATTGTTGACTCTAAAGTAGTAATTAATATAGTTATTGATTTAAATGTATAATTAGACTCATGTCATCATAATTACCCACACGATAGCACTCGTGTTGAGCACAGAATCTACAGAATCTCAGAATCGACCCAAAAGTGCTATCGTGTGAGCAATGCATTCATGCAGTCATTAATGACAGGAATGTGTTTTACTCGAGATTTGGGCACTTTGTTAGTGTCCAACAGTTTACGAGTCAACTGTCCGTTCATTTCAATCAGTATTCACTGGCAATCACTTCAGTATTAATATTAATATTGAAATTCAATTATAGTGTGCATCCAATTATATGCAAACTATTTAGATACACATTCACAGCACCACTAAAGTGACTAAACTTTGTTCACAAAGTGTATAAAAGTTGAGATAATTTTGCACTATTTGCTAAAAAAACACAATCCATTCACATATAATGTATTTGCAAACACTTTTGGCCCACAAACCAAAGCCGGCGTTCAGTATAGCACTGAATGCATTGTCGGCATGCATTGTTTGGCAACACACACCCCCACCATAAAAGTGGGTCACGATATACGTGAATAATACAGCAAACTATTGCAACAGTGTTTTATTAGGTGACGATCACGTGATCACATGACACAGTATTGCAGTTTCATAGGCATTGCATTGCCTTTCGTTCGTTCATTGAAATGAGTGTCAGATTGTTGTGAACGTAACGTTCGCTTTGATTGCCATTTGAATCCATTGCTAACCATTGGATTCATTAGTATAACGACTGATTGACTCTCACTTACACTTCAGGTAAGAGTACATCCGTTCAGACCACTAGTCGATAGCCTGTCAACTGATCCACGCATTCACCACTCAATTGACGAAAAGTAACTGTTTTTGTGTTTATAAATATCCATTGATTTGATTGACGATTAAAGCGATGGTCAGAGGAAAAGGTAAGCATTGAT